AAGACCATTGATGGCAAGGGTATCAAGACCATTGAAGGGTATCAAGACCATTGAAGGGTATCAAGACCATTGATGGCAAGGGTATCAAGACCATTGAAGGGTATCAAGACCATTGATGGTAAGGGTATCAAGACTATTGAAAGGTATCAAAACCATTGATAGCAAGGGTATCAAGATCATTGATGGTGAGGGTATCAAGACCATTGAAGGTCAGGAACCCCAAATGTCTATGAGGAAAACCATACTTTTTTCAAAACTGTTGTAAATTTTGGTCTATTCAAATGTTTAGGACAAGTTTCCAGCAGATTTAAAATGTTGCATTTATAGTTTGAAATATTTAAGTGATACATCCATAACTACAAGCAAATTAAACTATTTGTGTTCTGTCCCTTTTCACATCACCTCCAACAAGTTCCAGCCGCAGAATTGTTGGATCAGGTCCTCGATGCAGATGGGGCAGAAGATGATGACCGCATTGATGGTCTGCTGTGTGGTGCCCTAAAAACCTTGAAGAGCACGCGAGCCAAGCCTGGCTCCCAGCTGTACCTCAGCCTGATGTACTTGGCCAAGATCAAGCCAATGCTGTTTGAATCAGAGGATGTGGTAGATGTAAGTTTGATGAATTGGACTGAGTCATAGTGCATGCCATCAAGATGTTAATCAATGTTAAAGCCAGCCATATTTTAGTGCAGGACAAAGAATAATGGCAAACGGAGGGAACGAAGTGACTGGAGTCTCGCGGGTCATGGTTGGGTGTTCACTTAAGGGGACTCTAGATTGTTTTTCAGTGAATTTTTCTCTCTAAATTGATTAAGAGTTCACATCTTAAAAATTCTTCTAGGTACGGTAAAAAGATGAAATTTCCAAAGTGGCTAATGTTCTTTCTGACATTTTGAAGGATTTTTGTGCCAGTTGGTTGGCTTTCTCATGAACCTTAGTGCTGGACGGTAGAATGCTGTGGTGGAGATGCCCACCTGGCGCCTACTAGCATCGCTATAACACTGATGTTAATACTTACCATGAACGGGCAGTTTTTCAGAGCACATTACATGAATAGTATATGAAAATGTTTGACACAGTTTTATGTTCTTAAAGTATTTCTTCTGCATGAGGGCTTTATACATATTCAGTTTTTGGCCAGGCATAATTTATATGTGGAGTTTTGTTTGAACAGTAAGCCTTTGTATGATGCGTCCAAATCTCTGGAAATGATGTTTGTGTATAAATGTGCCAAAGGCCACTCCAATTTGATTAGTTGTTTTACAGATTTTGCAGACATAAATTATTCAACACTGGTTTTAAAAATCGCAAACAGAAGTTTTTATTTTTATTCCTCTTTCCCTGGTGATAGATATTATGTAAAATTGATCCCAAAGTTTCTCAAAACAAGAACACAAAAATCCAAATACATGTAAACACTGTTCCAGTCCATTCTCCTTGAAACTCCTGAGGTGCTATGCCATTTACGATCCTGTGTAGATTCATCCCATTATCGTACCGGTAACATATTTGATTTAGATTCCCTCCCATTCCATGCAGCAGGGTAGGCGTAATCCTGGGAACAGCCCACGAGTATGTTCCTTGTATGCATATACTTGATATATAGCAGTACAAAAGAAAAGGGATTCTCACATTGCCACCTTGTTCATGAAAAAAAAATCAAGTTTCTAGAGTAAATAACATTTATTAACAACTGTGAATTTATTCTATTTGATATATAGTCTCTCTGGCTCTGGTTTTCTTCTTACAAGTCAAATTCAGATGCCAACAATGTGCTCAAAATCATGTCCATGAACAGTCCTTTTACAGTGATGCCCACTGCTAAATAACAAGAACTATACTACGAGTATATTGGCAAAGAGCCAATCTGTAGCACTTAATTTGATGCATTGTACATGTATGTTATGTCTGATCAGAAATGGGCATTGTGCAAACATTGCAAAGTGTTTGTTCGAAAGTAGAAAAATAGTCACTGAAGAGTCAGTTTGTTGGAGTCAAGCAGCAAAAGCAAACCCTTCTCTCTGGGATGTGTATATGTATTTTGCACATTTCTAGATATCTGATGAACAAAATCCTGTCATTCACTGACTTTGGGAGCAGGGAGGGGAAATTCTCCGTAACAGCTCAGCTGAGCCATCCAGTCGTTATTGGCTGAATCTGTGCCTAATTTTCTGATGTAGCCATTGTTGAATTTTGGACAGGATTTCATGTCGCTGAAATTATTCACAAGGGTTCAATAGCTTGTATCATGAAGGTAAAATGGTACCAGTTTTAAAACCAAATGCATTAGAAGTTTTTTCAACAAGAGGTTTTACACCACTGTCAGTGAAAGTCAATGTGTGCCACCTTAGTTAGTACATGTACACATGGTGTACAGACCGACCTGCCAAACATTGCTTCTCTGCAAGTATAAACTTACATGTATATTTTCCATAACTTAAAAGTGAGTTTGGCAATTTTACAATAGTGTACCTCTAAGAGTTTGCAACGTGTTGGCCAATCACAGTGCCCGAAATCTGTTGACCCAATGCATGTTTGGAAAGGGTCAACAGATTTAAGAGGTCATTGGCCAACACATTACAAACTCATGGAAGCGCACTGTTGTGAGTCACCCGTGTTACAGATACAAATAGCACAACCTTTACAAAAGAAGCTTTAGGTTTTTAATATGTTTACTTTTCTTCAAAAGAATAGTTGGAATTAATTAAAGCATACTGGTACATTTACATCCAATTATCTTATTGTACGGTGTAAGTACATGTGTGTGGTGAATACCGTATGTTCTTCAAGTGTCCATCTTGTACATCTACACTGTATGCACAAACTTTTATACTGGCTTTTGTGCCCTGTAAATTTTCAGTCCTGCTGTTGGCTTGTTTGATCCATTTTTTAATCCATTCCTATTGGTCAAGAGTCTGTGTGCACAGAACTTGCCACACGTACCAAGTCCATATAAACACTGATAAAGGGATTCTTTTGGACTACTTGCACAAGGAATATACCATAAAATGAATGGGGATGTTTGGAAAATTGAAAGTAAAATTATGGAACAAAATCCTTAGGAATGTATCGTATCTTGATTTCTTTTGACTCACTAACTAAAACGGAATTTAAAAACGGGATTAAATACATGTATGTGCTTAGTCAGTCTTACACTAATGTCTAATGATAATACCCTTGCCTGCAGCTCGAGCATTAGTCGCATCCATTCTCCTGAGAGTGTCTTCAATGCATGTTTGAGACCGGCCAAGAACATATTTATTCCCTTATTAAAATTGTACTCTATTTCAAGCTTTCCCTAGGTTTGCTTACAAATGCGGATGTGGTATGGTGATTTAGTGCACATTGCACCTGAATGTATGTACATGTATATGGTTAATAGTGTAGTGACAATACTGATAATGTTGACAGTTGAAGTGGTAAAGTTTTAAACTTGCTGTACTTTTGTTCCCCGTTCCAGTATGTGTGCAGTCTGCTCAAGAGAGACATTAGCTTGAGCTTTAAAAGCAAGGGCAACCCCCTGGTGTCAGTGCTAGCCTGCAACCTCCTCATGTGCGTCTATCGCTTTGAGAATAATTGGCCTATAGCATTTGTCAAGGTAAGACCCAAGCTGTGTGAGGGGCACTTTTGAGGATTACAGCTTTTCTATCAAGTTTGCTTGACCAATATTTTACACATTTCTTTGCCTAGGACTGTGCACTTCAAAGTAAAAATGATCTATAATTCATTGGATGAAAGCTCGAGTACTGAGGCCAGTGGGGTCACACTGAAGGTGTACATGTATTTGAAAGTGCAATCACTTAGTAAGTGTTAAAAATTAAAAATGTGGTGGAAAATAAATGTACATGTAGTTAAATAAAAAAAGAGCAAAAATGAAAATTCTTTTATGTTAGTGTCATTTTTGTTGATTATTTGTTGAAATTAATTGATCACTTGCTACTTGATGGTTGTTTATGAAACTACTAATCTATGAGCTTGCAGTACTGCAGGTTGATATAAAATGCTTACGCATTTTACTGACAATCATCCTTACAGTAGCATTGATTTAAATTTTAATAATTGTTTCATATCTATGTCTTGTTGCATGTTGGTTCAGGTCTTCCTTGAAGATGCTATGGGAGAGAGAGTCTGGGTAGACCACCCAAGCTGCCATGAGTTCTGCAGCAACGTCCAGACAGCATTTGGCACTAAGATGCCCCCTCGCCACCTCCTCCTGCCAGTGGACCAGCTAAGACTCTCCACTGGCAACCCTGATCTCTTAAGTAAGTTCTGAAATGCCCACAACAGTGGCTCACAGAGCTAAAGGATTTATGACATTTTACAATTGCACAGAATTTGGGCTTGGTCATATTTCAAGGCAAAACCTCTGGCCTTTGGTATTTGTTGGCCTGAGCGACAATATTTTTAATCTAGTGGAAACTTTAACAAACTTAAACAACAAGAGATACAGCCCTTTCGAAAGATACAAACCTTTTCTACATGTAGGAGTCAATTTACACATAGCACCCGGCAACGTCTAAGCAGACTCTTTTGATAGATACATTTGCAGCAATCCAGTCTGAGAGGAACTGACTTTATTGCTTCACACACATCTCAAGTTCCTTTTAGATAGTCAAAGTAGCAAACCAATCATGTTCATGTATCAAAATTGTTTTTGTAAGCATGTGTTTTTCAGTGTAGAATCTTTTTCAGTGTGGAATTGTTGCCAACACAGTTGTGTTTCTGTAGTGCACAGGTTGCATTTGCACACTCAGTGATCCTGCAGACAGTCATTAAAGAACTAATCAAAATGTATTTCCACCTCTGATTAAAGTTTTGTGCAACATGCATGAAAGAATGGTCTTTACATGTAGTTGTAGTCTGTACTCCATCCCTTAGACATTCAAAAGCTTAGACTAAATAGTATTGAAATGGAACATTCAAAGCCTTCATTGCTAAGTCCCCCTTTCCAAGCTCTTGTAACTGTCCTCCTCATCCAAGGTGGAAGTCCACTTCGTGATGACAGTGATTTATCCTCTGAGTCTACCTCTACTCATCAGACAGAAGATGTAGATCTGACTGCAGACTTGCAGGCTGAGGGAGTCACTCCAAGGTACACGAATATTGGGCTGATTCTGCACCATTGTCATCTGTACAGGGTCGGCAGAAACTCAAATCATACTAAAGATAACATCCACAAAGCAGCACTTCTTGCTAATTGGACCCGAAACTTGATAACCAGTTAGTTAAGTGGGCTGTAGTTCTTTCCATTGAAGAATAAACTCTGAAATTCAAAATTTTTCAAATGCCAAATTCCATAATTAGAAAAGCAACTGGTGTCTCTCCATTTGCTGATTATTGGGAATGAATAACTATGAATAGGACTAAAGGGAGTCAGTAGCTAACATCACTTTATCAAAGTTCTTTGGTTTGGAGTACAGCATTCTTATGAAGCTTTTCAGGTTTTGACCTTACTGCCTTAAAAGTGTGTGCATTCTTTTCAGCTGTACCCACATGGGGTAAAGTATGCATTGGTTTCTGCATATAAACATTATTTTTGCACAATACAGGCTTTTGGTATTAAAAAAGTACGACTGATTCATTTGACTTAACATGGAATTTTCTTCTGTGAATAACATTGGGTGTTTATTTATTGAGAAGATGACAGAAAGCACATTTCATTTCAGTACATAATAAACCCCTTCGCGCCGGGAAGTGGTAAGACTCGCTGTAAAAATTGAGATCCCTCAGCCCGCTTTTCAGCTATTATTCTCAGCCTATGCTCGAGCGAACACGGTGAGAGAAAGCATACCCTGGCTCTTGTATATTTGGTGATTGGCCTTTGTGTGTTGCCAAGAAATGAAAAGGCCGAATTGGCATCATAATCACCAGCTTCACAATAGTCCCCACTTTGAAAAGAGGCAACGGGAATTTCGAAGCGTGAATAGAGCCACATGCCACCGAACAATGAGCTTTTTCTGTAAATCAAAGCGTGCAGAGCACGCAGGGCCACAAAACGAGAATTTGCGGTTTGGCAGGTGGCCTTTGTGGCCAAGCGAGGCTGGAACTCTCGGAGTCGGCTTTCAGAAAAAAGTCCAGGCGTCAAGGGGTTAAGAAACCAAGTTGAAAGTTTGAGTGTAAAGTTGAAAATTTAGTCTCTGGAAGGCAAATACAGGTACTTGGTCATGCATTGTAGTGCTAATTGCTCACCTCACCTGTCACCTTCCTGTCTGGTCTCAAGGTTCAATGTCCCTGACTGGTTTCCTCGACAGATACAGTCTTTTCAAAGATAGTGTAGAGACTTATGTGGTTGATTTTGTGCGAGACCAGCTGACCCGTCGTCAAGGCATGGACACACCTAGGAACTTGCTGCGTGTCTTGACTGCAGCCTGTGGCTTCCCTGAGGTTCGACTCTTAGCAGCTTCAAGGCTTGAGATGTGGTTACAGAACCCTAAGGTAGGATTTTGGGTTTGTGCTTAAACCATATGGACTGTGTTACCCCTGTAGAGTATGGTTTCGGCTCTTTTGCCTTGGTCAATTGAATGGAGTCACCAAGCAAGAAAGAGTGCTTAAATAACAAGTTCATTTGCGCAGAACAAAATCAACTGAGAGACCTATAACCACTTCCTGCCGGGGACTCCGAACTCGGACAAAGGAAACAGGGCCCTTTAACAAAAGACCGTACTCCAAACAAAAGACCAGGCTGCTGGGCATTACCGACATTTTTCACTCTCAAAAGTGGTGATAATCCAGCCTTGTTTTAAACCAAGGTTTGGGGCATTGAGAGCAAGCGGAAAACCACCGGGGACAAAAGCGCTCCACCACCGCAGCGATGAGCCACACAGCACCGCTGCACGCTAATCTGGCCCCATTGAAATGAGGTCAGCAGTGCACTGTGCCAGGTTCGTGAACAAAAGACAGTTATCCAACACCGCACAATCTGGGCTCTGATAAAAAATTACATAATTTTAAAGCTCTTAACATGGCATTCATTCATAACATAAAATCAAAATTATTCTACATACTACTGAAAAACCATGCAAATATATGATCTTTGACCTTGATTTGCAGAAATGCATATCTTTTTATTGTTAGCTTAAGATGTAACCAACATTTCCAGAAAGATTTAGGATGGGCACGCTTCAGGTTTTTGAGTTATGTTCATTAAGCCTTGGCAAAAACTTGCATGTGAATTGTAAATACATTTATGTGTATAAAATGCACATGTACCTGTACATACATTTAGGATGGGCACTCTTACAGTTTTTAGTAATGTGTATTTCAACCTTGGCAAAACTGAATATAAATTAAACATACGATGTACATGTACATACATGTACATGTATACAGTGATGTGTATAGTACTATGTACATGTACATGTAGGTCTACACAAAAATCATATCACCATGGTCGTGCAGGGTACAATTTATAACTTGACTCGTGAGGTAATCCCTCTTGACCCCTCAATGAGCTAAATTGACAAGTGGCCACAGCATTTGACCCTAAAAGAGCCGGGGTATTTTGGCCTACGGGAGGGAGGTGATTCTGCTGCCCCACCCTCAGAACTCAGTTATCCCATGCCAAGTTTTTCTTTTTTAAACTTGGCCTGCATTTGGATATGCTCATTATCAGTACAACTGTGAAGTTTCATTTTAAACTGACAAATGGCTTTGCTATGGCCATTTGAAGTTCAAGGCCTCATTTGTGTCATCCAAATTGCATTGAGCACATCAGTGGAAAAGTATACATCTCTGGCTGACGTAAACAGGTGCTGTGTGAGAATGGAACTTTTCCTTTTGATTTTCAAAAAATGGGTGTAAAAATGACCAACAGAAGTTACTAAAAATTACTGAAGGCTTAGGGCATGAAAAAAGGGAAGTCAGGGAAGGGAGTCAGGTTGGTGTAGAGGCTCTTTCCTTGCCTTTCACCTCTGCGACCCAGGTTCGAATCCCACGTACATGTAGGTCAGCAAGTAGATTGGGTTTTCTGTCCCTGCCTGGCTCCGTAGGTTTTCCCTGGAATTTTTATTGTGGGTTTTCCTCCCACCTCTAAAACTGAACATTTCTTTATTGTCCTCTTAATTATCACTTCACCCCATTGTCATGTTTATTTTATTTATTTATATCTGTTCATCCAACAGCACATTAAGCACCAATACGGTCGTTTCACAAAAGTGCACCTCCAAGAGTTTGCAACGCGTTGGCCAATCACAATGCGAAATCTTTCGATCCTGTCCAAACATGCATAGGGTCGAAAGATTTCGCACATTGTGATTGGCCAACGTGTTTCAAACTCTTGGAGGTGCACTTCTGTTAATCGACCGTATTGGCGCTTAATGTGCTGTTGGATGAACAGATATAGATAAATAAAATAAACATGACAATGGGGTGAAAAGATTCCGACTCCCCCAGCCTCTTTTAGGGTTTAGCTGGCCACAAGGATAAACATTGCACTTAATAAAACAATGAAATGTGGTACTGACCAATGTCTCAAAGCCTTCAATTGAGCGGGGTGAGAGGGATTACCTCATAAGTCGTGTCATGAATTATACTTTGCGCTGCCAGGCTAGCAGTTTTAACTGCACACAGTACTATTACATTGTATACATGTATGTACAGGTACATGTACATTTTATACACGTATACATGTATGTACAATTCATATATTTGTAGGTTTTGCCAAGGTTCAAATGAACATAACTCAAAACCTTACAAGTTTCTATCCTAAATCTTTCTAGAAAAGTTGGTTACATCTTAAGCTAGCAATTTGAAAATTATGCATTATGAAAAATACACATTTTCACAAATCAAGGTCATATATTTGCATAATTTTTGGTAGTACATTGGATGATTTTAATTTTATTATAGTAATGAAGGCTATTTCAAGCGCTTTAAGAGAATGTAACTTTATGTCTGTTGGTGCTTTACTTCAGGAGATATGGCTGTCCAAACAAAGCAGGTCAAGCTAATTAGTCAAAAGTTTATTAACTACTTGCTGCCTGGTGCTTTTTTTAAACGCTATACACACAGCCGGGCGATTTTGTCATATTTTTGTTTTTCAAAAGTCTTCAAAAATTTGTATCTTTTCTTCTGAACTCCATAAAAGAACTGTCTTGTGGCAAGTCTGTTCAGCCAGGCAACCTTTATTGACCCTTGAGTATCACTTTCACAGCGCCTGGTCTGTATAGAGCCCCCATTGTGTGGTGTTGCATAATTCCTTCTTTGTTCCATGAAGCGGCCCAGCGGGTTACTATGCTGTGGGGTTGCTATGTGGAGGGATTGATGGTCAATACTCCAGCGTGTATTGTGTGGCGAGTTCAAGGGAAGCTGTGTCCATGTTCAGCTGGCAGTGTACGGAGTGGAATGTGTGCAAGCAATGAAGGAAAAATGAGTCATGATATACAAATTGGGGTCTAAAAGGTGTGTTTTTTTGCGGCGCTGTTACATGTAAAACCTTTGCTATTTTTTGAAGGTATGGGGTGTTTTCTGGCATTTTTTTTTTGCATATCAAAATATATATTCCCCTCAAACCACCCTTATATTTTATCCCCAACTTGTCCATTTTCCCTCCAACGGGGTAAGTTTTAGTTCAAAATTGATATTTTCCCAACCCAAAATTTGATTGCCCCAAAAGTTGTAAGTGAAACCTTAGAAACCAATAAAAGAAGAACACAAGGAAATACATGGACACAAATTTTTTTATTCTCTTTTTCTTCTTGTCATATTTCTTGCATTTTCTTCTCTTCTAATTTCTCTTCTTTTCACTGAAATGGTTGAATTCATAAACCAAGCAAAATAAATTTGCAATAAAGTAAAAGGCAAAACTCATATAAAGGCGAGAACTGTAACACATTTCACTACGACCACTTCTACGACCAATACAAGGAATTTTGGTACTTTTTTCAATTGATGAAAATATAGCATGTCCTATAACCAGGACATTCATGACACTGTTTTTTGTCTTTTTTTCAAAGGATGAAAACATGAACTATTTTGTAAAACCAGCACAAGGAATTTAGTTACTTTTTCAATTAATGAAAATTTAACACGTCCTATAACCAGTACATTCATGACGCTTTGTTTTTGTCTTTTTTTCAAAGGATTAAAATATGACCCAAATAGCAACACCAGCACAAGGACTTTTGTTACTTATTCAAGTGATGAATATATAACTTGTTGCAAAACACACAAAATAATGTCCATGAAAATGGAAACAAAATGTTCAAGTGTCCCTCAGTGGATGGGATGATATTCCTTGAAGCAAGGGTCGATGCAGAGGGGCGTTTGGCAAACGTCGCTCTTGAAGTGGGTTTTCTTCTGCTCCCCCCGAGAAAAGTAGAGGATGCAACGCCAGTGGAGGTCGTCGCCGTTGCAGGCCCTCTTCTAGACAACGGGAAAGTGGCAGCCAACGAAGCGGGAGTTCGTGGCTGGCGGAGCATCGTGCTGGGCCCGATACCCAGGCAGGGGCTCATTGAAGAGAAGCTCTCGGACTAGACTCGTGCGGTATTCAAGGAAGGAGAGGCGGTGACCAACGGCCAGATAGATGGCGTAGCTGTTCACCAGGCTCAAGTCGAAAAAGTAGAAGAAGAGCTTTTTATACCACTTCATTGACTTGCGGGTGGCCCAGTGATTTGCCGCTAGCTGGTCGCTCCTGTTAATGCCCCCCATCAGGGCGTTGTAGTCGATGATACAGACTGGTTTCTGCTTCTTCTCCCCCATCCAATCTCGCTTGCCGCAGCCAAGGACGTCTGCCGTATGCATTGTTGACAGCATACGGATATTGTGCTTGTCGCGCCACACCATTGCTAGGAGGAAGCCGTTCACACCCAGGTCGGCCGACTGGAATGCCATTTCGCGGCGCTTCAGCTTAACGGACATCAGGTCTTTGGGCATTCCCTTTCTGCTGGGCATGACGGTGCCGACAACATTGAATTTCTGGCTGTGAAGGCGCCTGAACAAGTCGGGACTGCTGAAGGCCCGGTCGAGAGCAAGGTTGTACCCCTTGCCCTTCAGGTCACTCACCAGGTCCATGACGACTTGGGTAGACGGCAGTCCGCCAGCGTGGCACTGTTGTTATTGAAGTACAGGGCCTGCAGGATCTGAAGGAAGTGGTCTCGCGGCATGACCGATGGAAACAGACTGGTTTTCACGAGGGGGTCGGTGGACCAGTAGTTATGAAGACTTGGTAGCTTGGAGATGCCCATCATGGCGCAATGACCGAGAAAGGCCTTCAGTTCTCTGATAATGACATCGGTCCACGCTCGCATGCTTACAGATGTCGACACAGGTCGTTGGACGGCATACCGATTGGTCTCTTCAACGATCAGGTGGTATATATATAACATCATCGAAGAACAACCTGAAGGCCTCGGTGCACGTTAAACTGCAATGCAAGCGTGGATTGACGACCCCACCAGGGCCGGTGAAGCCATACTTCAAGGGAGTGCTGTCTTCATCTTTCCAGTGGAATGATGTGGCACCGCTGCTGGTAGTAGTGGCGGACTGTTGCCAACACTTGGCGTATACAGCCAGGGGCACATCGCTGTCTATGTCGGTGCTTGACTGTGCTCTGGCAGGGGATAGCGGCGGTGAATCAGAACCCTCGTCTGAACTCGACTGGAAGAAATAGCTGTCGTAGTCAGAGGAACTTGACTCACCAGATATTACTTCGGACATTTTGTCAGCGATCTGAAACAGTGCTTGAAACACTTGAAACCCGCTATGAAAAAGCGCTGGGCACTACGGGGCGACCCCTGTCAATCAACAGGGCAAGGGCCAGCAGCGCCCGGGCCAGGTCATTCATGGGTCGCATGTGCACTGGGCGCCCTTTGTTCATACACTGATAATCCGCTGTGAGCACAGACATTGTGAACAATACTACAGCAGATTACTCTCACTAATAAAAGCGCTTTGCACTGGAAGGCTTTAGCCGCTTGATCTTTCATTCAAGGATTATACAAGTTTGATAACCCTGGCCCCAGAAACGAGCTATTGCCTAACAACTTGTCTGCTGGCCCAAACTTTTGACCAAGGGAAATAAACTTGAAAAAAAAACCAAACAAAAAACAAGCAGCTTTATTAATTTTTTATATTAGTTTCTGATTTCGGGTCCCCTGGTTCCATGTATAAAGGCTATGTACTCGAAAATGGGTCACCAGACAGGAAGTGGTTAACCCATATCTTAAAAACTAATTGACCAATTGACACAAAATTTCAGACCTGGAGGGGGGGTTCTCAAGAAATACAATCAGTGCACCGAATTTTGTTTCAATCCGTGACGGTCAGTTCCAAAAGTGTGCTGAATTGACACGGAATGACCCAATTTGTGGCTTATTGTACTTGAAATGTGCCAGCAGGCATTACAGAGGGCTCAGGTTCAAGCCTCGATCCCATCAATTTTGGTGTAATTGATATTTGATTGCAGCTGACACGCCCCGCCCAAGAGCTTCTGATGGCAGTGTGTCTAAACTGTGATACCCATGACCAGGAGGATGTGGAAGTCATAGGCCATCTCATCAAGATTCGCCTCAAAACCAAACCTCTCATCAACCACTACATGCTCAGCATGAAGTAAGTCTGTACCAAATCTGTTTTACAATTATAGCTTTGTGAAATCACAATGGTGGCTAGGCCTTGATTTAATCTTGACTTCAACTTCTTTTGTTACAAACTTCTTAGTAAATTTGGTTCACCTTATCAATCACTTTTAACCCCTTTTCATATTGCGCTGAAGGAACAGTTCTATTCTGAAAAATGTTGTGCCTTGACAAGTTTTTATTAAAACCATGTACCAGTGTACTTTGAAACTTATAGAGAGTGGCTTTTCTGCTTGGCTTGAGCCACAGATGAGCAGTTTATCAGCCTTTTGTTGTGAATGTACATGATGCTAAACAGTTTTGTACCTTTGTTTCATAGAGAGTTGTTAAGCCAGCATTCAGACAACCTGTCCACTCTCCTAAAGCACACCATCTACAATGAGTTGTCTAACTCTCGTAATCCCAACAACATGGCTCTCCTGGCTACTATCTTCCAGCATTCACCAGAGGCTTCGGCAAAGGTACGACAGTGGGGCAGGGTATTGAGATGGGAGTTGAAACTTCCACAACATATGTTGCCTATTTTGACAACAGATTTTATCCTTGGCTCACAATATATTTATCAGCACTGTGTTTTCAGCCTTAATGAACACATTGTGAGAAAAAATTTATAAGGTTGCTCACCCAGTCTTCTGTTGACTGGTGTAGATGTCATTCTGTTTGCAGATAATTTGTTAGAGCTCAACCAGAGTAACACTGAAATCTTTCCTTAGGAGGTTTTAGATGGCACTCACTTTCTAACGGAGACATCTTAGACTTTGACTGGGATAAGTTTACAGACCACAGCCTTCCCACAAGGAAGCAGTCAGCTTATTTGTGGCTAGTCATTCAAGGACACACTATTTGTTGATCCATGTATATAGCTCTATGATAAAATTAACTAAGGAGCTGGTTGAAAATGCTTCATATACACTGCCCTAAAGTACATTTATAAAATATAGTTTCTCCTTCTTATAAAAGTTTCAAAATGTAAATGCTAATTTCTTTAATGTTATTTTCTTCTGCCTTAAGTTTCCTAGTCTTTATCTTAGTTAATAGTTATAAATTGGAAACAGAGTGCAGTAAAAGAATGACAAAGGCGCATTGATGTGAAAATGTGTGTATATTATTGAGCCAAAACATTTCGTTTTTCAGCCGTCTTACCATACTCGGATAAAAAAGTTGAGACCGTGGTACACTTGGGTGTCTTGTATTCAGCAATCCAAGGTCACTGTCTTGGGTAACCATAAACCATTCTGGTGGGGCCTGTTGTGGCCCTCTTGGTACATGTGAACAGTTGTTCATGGTTGTCAAGTTGCAAATAAAATGTTCTCTGCAACGCGTCCAGGACAATCACAGACTTTCTTGCAGCTGAAATATATGGTTCTACCCACAGCTTGTCCAAGACAAGTTTTGAGATGTTTCCATTTAATTGTCAGAGAAACAGTGCTGGTTAAGGGAAAAAGTTGAATATTTATGTCTCCACAATCATATCATTAATCATGTAGATAAATATTCAGAAAAGAAAGAATTACATGGACACAGATCATTACTTGCCTTATAATAAATGTGTATTTTGTTTCCCCTGAAAGTTTTTGGCCAATGTGTTTCAAGACTTGCTGATGAACAGAGATGACTATCTGCGAGCCGTGAGGGCACTGTTCAGAGAGATTGTCAAGTCACTACGTTATGACCTGGATTTCCCCTCATTCTGCAGAGGTCTCATGAAGGAAAGAACTGACAAACAGTTCATTGACATGGAGGCTCAGTTTAAGGTAAATTATATTGGAAAATTCATTTAGAAAAGATTAAACCTGAAAGGAACCTAGATGGGGAGTGATACGCCTCTCCTGCATTTTCACTGATATTATTGCAGTAATTTTTTGTCATGTGAGCTTTCAAGGAGTTTTCCACAATTGTGTTGCGGTCATTTTGACACTGCTTTTGTGAAAAATCAAGACATTTTGGCTTTTTGTCAACAATCCCATTTTTTCAAGGCTAGTTTACCATTCCATTGACAAGTGTTCAGTGCACAAACTGATGAATGTGATGGTGTGAACTGTATACAGTACAACACCGCTGTAACAAACACTGCTGTGCCAAACATTTTGGTAAGCGAACATTCCCATTGGCCCCCTAGTCTTTTGTACACTTTAATACCAAAACTGAAATTTGCTCACAGAAGGAAATATTAAGAATTTGAGACTCATAGCAATGAATTCAAGGAGAATTTCAATCTTAATTGCTAAGGAACTTGAGCCAATTTGCAGTCTACATGTTTATCTTTTGTGGGTTCATGAACATGAGTGCGCAGGCGGCCATGTAGGCCAGGCCAGCCTACTGGGTACAAACACAACAGACAACTTTTAGACAGGATGTCTTGCTTTACTTGAATGCTGCAAAGGCAAGGATTTTTTACTTGGTAATAAATTCATATAAACAGATACACATATACATGTCGACATATCAGCTTTTTGACGTAATTTACAAGTATTTTCTTAGTTTCATTTGTTTCAACAACCCTTGCATGACATTTCTCATGTTGCATAGTTCAGATATGAATCTAGTGCTGTTGAATGGTTCCTGGCCTATTCATTATACTGGTAATTTGAATGTTGCAATTGGAAGCAGTGTAATGGTACACCATGTTGTCTGCAATTTCTTTGATTACTCAATGAAAACTTGATTTTACTTTGCTAATCAACTTTCAGTGAGAAAAACCCACAAGGTAAAATGTGGAAGGAATAAAATCAGAAAAATGCTTGGATTTCTGTGCTGTTTATTTGTAGCCTTGTTTATCTGTAAAATAGTCAGTTCAAGTACAAGTGTGGCCATAAATCCTCATGAAGACATCTTTATGAGGCAGGCTGCTTCATGTTTGAATGCTAAGTGCTGGGTACATGAGCAATTGAAATCAATCATAAGATGCCAAATGATGGCTATACCAAACATTTTTGGTAAGACCTTTTCTTGTTGTTATAGTGCCATTGTAGTACAGTAGAACATCACTATACCAAACACCGCTGTACCGAACATCGTCCTTGGCTCCCAATATTTTGTGCACAAAACCTACCAAACATTATGTAGTTGCAAATCAACAGAGATTCACCACAGCATACATCAGAGATCGATCCTGAACAGTAGATTCACGACTTTTAGGATAAACTAAATATCAAGTTTGTAACTCAAGATTTAATAAAAAAACAAAAATAATTAACAGATACATTTCTAGAAATGTCAAATGTGAAGGCAACGGCAAAACATCACGAAAACAGCGAATCGTATCACAAGAGGGTGCACGTCAGTTAGACAAGAGAGGATGCTATTCAACATTGCAATGAAACCTTCGGCAGTTAATTTCGCTATGCCGAGCGACCGCTGTACCGAACATTAAGCGTGGACCCCATTGTGTTCGTTATAGCGGCGTTCCACTGTATATGCCCATAACAGTGAAGCTCTCTGTCCGAAAGTACTGAAAATTCACATACATGCATGTCAAGTTAAAACAAAAAGTCATGCAGAGAATGTCCATTAAACCAAGCTCTTTGAGGGTTGATTATCAAGTTGGTTCATTTTTGAAGTTCCTGAATACCTTACAGTACAGCATGTTACAGTAACTACTCTCAGTTTACAGTTATATTTAATTTCTCAGGATCTTTGATACCAAATATGAAAATACAAGGACACATTGAAATTTGGAAGTATTTTATCGTTGTGTTATTTTTCTTGTTCTGTGTATTTGCTTAGGATCGAATGCTACTTTCCCTGGCTGACTTGATTGTGCTAGCTGCTCTTCTTAGTGTTAGCCCTGTGATCAAAGAGGCAGTAGCGGCCTACACCAGGGGCGACAGGAAAGGTTTGTTGCTGAAAGCAGAGACTGTGTTTCCTGCAATATTACTTAGTTACACATAGTTCTTATGTAGTTGCAAGAAGTGGTCACTCATCCAAGATTGAAACCGGGTTCAAATAAGATTCAGTAGCTCAGGATCCCAGGCTTGTCCAAGTTAGTTAGAAGGCTTTCCTTCGGGCAGCCCAGCCATTGATGAAACTCTCTTAACCCCTTCGCTACGGATGACTGCTACTACAGCACCTTTGTGTGAGCATTAGTGCATACCACACATACAGTCTATTCACCATGCACCTGCTTGTTCAATGGGGCCTGCTGCTGGACAAAGCCATCCATTCATGGCATGCCACAGCCTAGCAGTCGCGGTCAAAATAATCCTGTTGTGAAGGGGTTAAATCATTAAGGATCATTCCTTTTTCCTTGACCAAGCTGGTTGGAACATCTTCTTCATACCAGCTAATTGTACCTAATTCTCCTGGGTCCTCTTGAATTTTGCTGTCTCCTAATCTGGTTCAGTGACCTTTTCCATGCCAGCAAACCCTTTATACCTTACCGTCTGAGGACCTTCACCAACCTACATGTAGTTGCAAGGCCCTCTAAAACCTTTACCCTCTAAGAACTTCCCCAAACCATCATGATAAAACAGTATAATCACATGGAACACAGTACAGTCACCACATTCAGGCCATGGTTTGACATAAACTAATTTTTCATATGGAAGTTTCAAACTCTACTTGTAGTTCTTACCATCTGCTTTTTTCTTATTTTCTAATGTGAACATAGACATGGATGTACTAAGAGGTTTTCAAAACCAAGCCTCTGTAATGCAAAGAGATGCAGTATGGTGGCTGCACACTGTGGTACCAAAGATGTTCAAAGTTAACCAACAAGACTTCAACCAGTGGTAAGGTGTTGGAAACCTAAACAAAGTGGTGTGTACTTATTGAAGCTTTCTGAAGAAAATGTTTTTAATTTCATTTGTGATTGTGATCAATGTCTGGCATTTTGGCTGAAGCACAAGTGTAACTTGCAGTGCATTACAGAACACTTTGAATAAAAATTTTGAATTAAGAGAGGCTTGTTGGGTCTGAAATCTCATATTTGGGATTGATCCGTGGTATTGCCACGTCTTTGAAGCAATAGGAATGTAAACAAATTTTCACACAGCAGCAGTGTCCCTTGGGTCTATATGTTACTTGAGGTTAACCACTTGCTGCTGGGGAACCTGGTTTCAAGCACCAGGGGTTTATACGTAGAGCCGGGGTGCCCGAAATTGGACAAAAGAGCTTGCCATGTAACAAAAGACCGTACTTGGAACAAAAGACCTGCTGCTGGAAATTGCCATTATTTTTTGACTTGCATTTTTCGAAAGTAATCTGTCGCCGTTTTTAAACAGCATACCACTGTTTTGGGCATAGCGTGCCCGTGGATTAGCACCGTGGACAAAAGTGCCCCAAGGCCCCATTGATGAGCGACACAGCACCGTTGCACGCTAATCCAGCGGCGTTTGAAAACATGTAACTTGCATTCCCTGGAGACAAAAGATATTACGCAACACTTCACAATTATGGGCTCTCTGTACAGGGCGGCAGGCCTGGCTGAAATATTCAGGAGTCAACTGAAAATCTTGAAAATTGCCTGTATGTTTGCACTGCATTTTAAAAGCACCTGGCAGTATGTGGTTAGATGTTTACAATTATCCTAGCCTGTTTTCTTTACCAGCGGGAAATATTTGTACAAAGGTGCCATTTATGTTTAATACAGATTCCTGAGATAAAGATGCTGATCATTATTTCCTCTTGTCCAAGCATGTGATTCTTTCTGTCTTGTAGCTTGCAGAAGGTGTTGTTCATGGAGTCGTCAGAATCGTACTGCAGTAAAGACAACTGGCCTCCAGAGTCTGACAGATCGTAAGCGTTCAGGGAATCTTTCCATTGGACAGTGATTGGCTTATTGCCTTGTCTGATATTTTGGGGGCATGAAAGAGATGCTGAGCTGTTTTTTGTACAAACTGTTATGATTGCTAATGCAAAGATTTGTCACACACAGTGAATGATTCTCTAATTCACCAAATCCTTTGCTCCTACCTGCATGGTTCAGGTTGTTACTCTCTCTGCTGTCAGAGGTCCCTGTCCTGGAAGATACCCTGATGAGGGTCTTAGTGATGGGCCTGTCACGTGAGCTGCCCCTATCAGCAGCTGATGGATTGGAACTAGCTGACAAGCTGGTCAAACGGGCTGCTGTCCTTTATGCAGAAGGTCAGTATTCTAAACCTTTACCTCACAAAAGTCATGGTAGACTAGGAGGCACATGAGAATATTTGTTTAAAAATTGACAAATCGAGGCAGATTCCCCCCCAAAAGATAATTTATAAGTGAATTACTTCCAAGAAACATTTTCAGGTTTTTCAATAACTGATATATTACTTCACATTGTTAAACGTTTAAAGCCTTTACTTTCTGCTCGCTGTTTTGACCACTTGACAGAAAGTATGTTGATGGTTGTAGGCTGACTCCCATCATGAAGTCATCAAAAGATAGTCTTTGTTTAACCAGTCATGTACCTTTATTCTCTTTGAAACTGTTTTCATTAGACTTTCCAGTGCTAAAGGTTGAAAGGATCCAGCTGATTGATGCAGTACTCAACTTGTGTGCCTACCATCACCCTGAAAATATCCAGCTACCACAAGGGTAGGCTTAGTTTGCTATTTATATCTGCAACAGTGTTGTATTTATATAACAGGTTTTGCCCTTACCCAACGTATATATTAATAAACACTGTATGCTCAGTGCTTGTCTGAGAGCTTGCGAAAAAAGTCACAAGCTACTCGGGTGGGACTTGAACCCACGACCTCCTGCTTACTAGTGCAGATGTCTCAACCGCTCGACCACCAAGCTTGCCGGGGTCGGCTGGCCAGTCCGAGTCAGGTGAAGCAGCAGGTACTGCGAACTATTTTCAAGCTCTCGGACAAGCACTGAGCATACAGTGTTTATTAATAGATACGTTGGGTAAGGGCAAAACCTGTTATATAAATTAACATATCCCCAACGCAAAAATACATCTTGAAAACAGTGTTGTAGTCGAGACGGTCACAAGACCAGACACAAGATCATGCCCAAGAGCAGACACAAGATCATGCCCAAGACCAGACACAAGATCATGCCCAAGACCAGACACAAGATCATGCCCAAGACCAGACACAAGATCATGCCCAAGACCAGACACAAGACCATGCTTGAGACCAGACACAAGTAACAGGATGAACAATAACAAAGGAATGCTTTTGTTGCATTTCATTTGAATTCAGACTGGAAGTCTTGTGCTGGTCTGTGTTGTCTTGTGAAAGTCGTAAATGGTCTTGACTACAACACTGATCTGCAGTATCTTTTGGCCTTTTGGGATAGGTTCAGTTTCGTGTAATTGCAGTAATGAACAGATATTTTGTGAATTTCCCAAAGCTTTGATGCTATTTGATCAACAGTTTATTTGTTCTAACCTTCCACAATTTCATGACGACAGACTTTGTTCAAGGCAATATGTAACAAGTAATAGAAGCTTAGTCATTTTAACAAGATCCATCAAGTTGTCTATCCATTGGCTAAACAGCCTCGTAATCCCGGCCTACCAAATACCCAAGGACCCACTAGTGTATCCAGGTTTAAAGTTGGGAGGCATTTTGGAGATGTTTTCTGAACAATTCACATTTTGTTAATCCATTAAAGAATTCCCAAAAGGAAATACTGATTTTAAACATTTTGTTTGTGCTCTCAGTCCTAAAAAAAGCAAAACCTCTCCAGGTTTTCTCCCCCCAGGATACGGCAACAGTGACGTCATCCACAGGACTAGCTGCCATTGTCTTGGAATTGGCAATACTTATTAAATAACATTGTTAAAGAGTTGGCCATAATTTTAAAAAGGATTGAATACTTCATGTTGTGAAGTTCTCTTTTTTGTGATTTTTCCAACTTTAAGATAAAATCTGGCTTTCATTTTTACAGTTACACACCACCTAGTCTAGCCATCTCCAATCTCTATTGGAAAGGATGGATCTTACTGGTTGTTATCACAGCATTCAATCCCACCAACATAGGTGAAGTCACTTGCCTTATTTCTTCGTTGACATTTAATTTTTTTGCTGTCTGTTACCAAATCTAATAGTTTTCTTGTGAAAGTTATTCTCCCTTTTATCATTTCTGGATGATTAATTTTCTTTCAGTTTTAGTAAAAATTTTTGAATTGAGCACCAAGTGAAATGAGGAAGAGATGAAATATTTTATTCATCATTGCTTGTGGGGTTGATCATTCAGACTTTTGAATTGTCTGCTCTTGAAGAGCAAAGCACACTTAAACCACTAATAATCCTCAACAAAATTTGCATGCTGGCTGATGGCCATTAGGGTTTTTGTTTTTTGGTCAGAATCGGGAATGAAATAAGTATAACCAAAGAAATTTGAAGTATGCACTGAAGCTTGACCATTATTTCCTTGTCAAATTGAGCCTTTAGGTTTATTTACACACCAGCTGATTTATTTAGAATCTATGTGCATTGCATATCATTTGCTTTTCCTTGTTTATCCAACAATTGATGCACCTGTCATTAATTCATTTTACACACTCAGTTACTTTTTAAGTTGTTGTATTGTCTAAATGTACTGTACACTGTGCAATGGTGGTTTTATGTTTTTGTTTTTTGTTGTTCTGTTGTCATAGGTCTAGCAGCATGGGAGCGTTATCCAATGCTACGTTGTTTCATGGAGATGGTCATGACCAAGTAAGTACATGATTGGAATTTCTAGGTTTTGAGTCCTCAAAAAATTGAGAATTTTTCTGGAAAAGTAGCATTGCATTTTTTTGTGTGGTGAATTTTTGGGGGGTTTGGATATGTTGCTAGCCGTAGTTTTGAGGAGCTGACTTTATATTCAATAAAGCACTGTGTGATGTCATTACCTGTTGGTTTATGAAAGGACAATGTCCACAGCAAGTGTTATCCATTGCTATCTTTTCTTTGGCAGCAATTTCAAGTTCCCTCCACCAACTGCAGCACCTGATGAACGTTCACAGGAAGAGGTGAGAGCAAGAGAACTCCAGGTAAGAATTTTTCTCCTTTCTGCCCAAGGAATAAGAAACCAAATCTGGTCAAGGACTGGACATGTACGTCCATTTCAGATGATGAGTCTATAATCAATTGCATCTCTGTTCTTCAAAACTACTTTAGTATTTACATGTAACAATATGTGTTGAATCAGCTTCAAGTTCCAGCCTAGCTTGGTAGTGATTCATCTTAGTACTGTCAGAATCATGCATTCGTGCAGATTTCCATAATCCTGTACACTAGCCTGTTGGAGTTGACTAATAATTGTTGAGGAATGACTGTGAGAAATAACTTTGGATGATTTGGATATTGTGTGTTTCAGTGCAGGTAATGGTAGTAAATAGCTACTGACTGGATACTCTGAGTTGATCAGTAGCTGGTGATGTCCTGTGTAATTGATCGTCCGTTACATAAATAGCAATTCTAGAAATTAGGTAGGAACACAAACATCCTAAAAGCTAAGATTAGATGCACCTACTCCAGACTGGTTCGAGGACAGTGGGCTATATTTGGCACACAGATTTTATAAAGTTGGTTTTGTTAGTAGGTGATATGCCACAATGTGTGTTTTTTCTCATGATAGGTGATTGCTCTAGAGAAACAAGAGATTCTTGAGTTTGAGAACCACCTGGCAAGAGTTGCCATCACTGAGTCTAACAGTCTGCTGCTGTCCCAGGTCATACGTATGGATCCCAAGTGAGTAATTCACAAAACAGATTTGAGTAAAAAAAAAATGAGCCTGATCTAATTTTAAACTTAACCA